GTTCTCCTCCACAACAGACTCAATTTCATCATGGTGTTTCTTCACGGTCCCCTGTTGGACAGAGTATGCCACAGCCACAAGGAAACAGTTTCCAGCATACCATCGGAACACACATGGTCAGTGCACCATATTGGCCATACCGGTTCGATTACTACTAGTTATTGTGTTACTGTCCTTTTAAACATATATACCAAAAAATCGTTGTTGAGTCAGCTTTTTTTGTGCACTGGGTGAAGAGATGTTAAAGAGCAAAGTTCAGCTGTTTTTGTAGGCTAGTGGTTGTATGCTCCCCATATTACATACAACCAATGTAGATGTTTACTGGGACTTTTCTTGGAATCAAAATCTAAGCTGTTGCAGTTAATGCTAATTTTTACCATCACGACGCGTTAACTCGAGGACGAGTCGTAGTTTCCATGTAACCCTTTTTCATCTCTGGTGGTGATCGGTTGTTTTTTTTTACGTTTCGCTACTGTATTTTTCTTTCATTGTCGAGAACTGTATGGTTAATGTGGTGTACTGGATGTTTAGACAGGAGAACAGTTTATCAGCCTCTTCCGGGCTGCTGAAGAAGAGGTAAAGAATGAAGACATTCCCCCAACGAATCCCCCTGCAAATGATGAGTTTTAGGTATGTACTCAGTGCTCAGTGATCTTGCTTGTTGTATCGAGATTCTTTGTTCCGACATGAAATATTTCGTAGACGTATTTGAAAATATATTAATTTTCCTTTGTTAGGCGCACCTAGTAATGCTCGTGTAACTGTGGAATAACTGCATTTTGCATTTTCTTTGGAAACTTTGCTACCATTGTCAAGTTGCATTTTGGTTATAATTTACATTTCTGCGTTCGATAGTTGTAAAGATGTCTGAGAGACTTCTTTCTATTATTTGAAATTTTTAGTGGATTGAACGTTTCAGAATCTGATGATTGGTTCAGCCTCCCTTACTTTTAGGAAGCGGTAGTGCCGGATGAAGATCTTAATTGATCTCTTCTTCCACGGTCTAACGTATTCTTGCAATTGTGCCCTTTCCCTTTCTCGTATTTTTGAAACATATTTCCCATTTTATGTCAGTCTAAGGACCTGCGCATGGCTCCAAAGAATTTGAAAGCTGCTAAGACACTAGAAGAACACCAGTTGTTATCCAAGCTGAGCAAAGTGAAGAGCCTATGGGAAGGCAACGCTACAGCTGAATTGCAAAGCAGTTGCTCAGCTCCAATGCCTGTAAAGGAATTGAATCCCAGTGGGCACACTGAAGTTCAAGAATCAGATGATGCGATTGCTTCCTTCCAAGACACCGATTTAACAGTAAAAGAGGAAACATGTACAACTGTTACCGACAATTTGATTAGAAAAAAGGATGAAGGAATGATGGTGGATAAAGTTGATAGTACAGAAAGTTTTTCTGAAAAGCCCAATGGAACGGCTTCGTCGACCCAAGGGCACATTAAAGTGGCTTCCAGAAGGGTGAGCACAGAGGAGCAACATTTATCTAACCGGGAGGTTACTTTGAAAGATAAATCGGAGGCAAATGCGACTACAGTAGACAAAGGTGAGCGAAAGAGAGCTGAGGAACAAGAAGAACCCATTGAAACTTCCGCTACGCAGGCAGATGCCCCCAGGAAAAAGAACGCTAGGAGTGGCGGTCGTGGAAGAAAGGCTAAGACACAAAGGCAAAACGAAGTTATTGAGAGTCCTCGAAACAAGCAGGAGAAAACCGGGGATGGTGGCACAGAAGAAACAAAGAATACTCAGGTGCAAAATCAACGTCAGAAGAATCGCGTCGATTTCAAATTTGATCCTTCAAAGGATTCTCGTTCGTCTTCACCCAAAAGACCTGGATCTGAACGCGCCGAAGAAAAACCGAGTGGATCCTCTAGAGAAGGTCCTTGCCACGGTGCCGAGTCAATTAAAAATTCTACTCCCAAAAAGCTTGGATATGAACGCTCCAAAGTAAAACCGACTGACTCTTCAAGAGATTCTTTTGGCCGAGGCCCTGATTCAAATCAAATTTCTTCGCCTAAAAGGCCGAGATCTGAACGCCCCGAAGAAAAACCGAGTGAATCTTCTAGGGACCTCCCTCGCCGTGATGCCGGGTCAAATAAGAACACTAGGCCTGGATCTGAACGCTCTGAAGGAAAATCGAATAAATCTTCAAAAGTCGATTCTAGCCGTGATACTGAGCCAACTCAACTGGCAACACCCCAAAAGCCTACATCCGAGCGTTCTGAAGAAAGACCGAGTCAATCCCCCGGGGACGATCCTCGCCGGGGTGCCGAGTCCACACTGTCTTCGAATAAACACAAAGAGTCATCTTCAAGTAAGAAAGAGCCTGGAAAGAGAGCACCACAGGAGACCAAGAAAGACCCTGAAAAGAGAGCACCACAGGAGACCAAGAAAGACCCTGAAAAGAGAGCACCACAGGAGACCAAGAAAGACCCTGAAAAGAGAGCACTACAGGAAACCAGGAAAGACCCTGAAAAGAGAGCACCACAGGAGACCAAGAAAGACCCTGAAAAGAGAGCACCACAGGAGACCAAGAAAGACCCTGAAAAGAGAGCACCACAGGAGACCAAGAAAGACCCTGAAAAGAGAGCACCACAGGAGACCAAGAAAGACCCTGAAAAGAGAGCACCACAGGAGACCAAGAAAGACCCTGAAAAGAGAGCACCACAGGAGACCAAGAAAGACCCTGAAAAGAGAGCACCACAGGAAACCAAGAAAGACCCTGAAAAGAGAGCACCACAGGAAACCAAGAAAGACCCTGAAAAGAGAGCCTAATTATAATAATAATAACAATAATAATAATAATAAATTTTATTTATATAGCGCACATATCCTGTGCTCAAGGCGCTTTACAATGTTTATATANCCGAGGAGAAGTCACAAGTATCTTCTGGAGAAAGTAAAGTATTTTGTTTGTGAAAAGTAGCTGGTAGCTAATGGGATACTCGCTTTTGTAGAACAGCAAACCAGTGTGAGACCTATTATTGAGTTCCATGTGCTTCATTAACCCTTAAAACCCCAACATTGTTGTCCATATTCTACAAACTGTTCTCTTTACAATTCCTTTGGTACTGACAAGGAGAATTTGTTTGCCAATCGGGAAAGCTTCTAGTTTCTTAAATTGGTGATTATTTCCTTTACTCTCTTGACTTTTGCATTGGATTCAAGGTTGGTATTGTAAGGAGAAATAAGAAGTCCGTCACTCTAAAGGGGTTAAAGTGTCGAGAGTATGCAATCGCGTTTTCTTTATGCTTCTTTCCTAGCAAATGCAACATAACGCATAGTTGATCCCTGAACGATGCCTTAGTAATAGAGTGGTACTGATGGGTCATGTCTTTTTAAAGTTTTGTTTTACAGAAGCGGTGGTAGAATTTCGTTTTTTCTTTGTTGTTTTAATCAAAGTACTCGACAGCCTTTCTAGTTTGATACGAAGAAGTGATGATAGTCACAAATAGCAGAATCCAGTTTTGTTCTTAGTTATTTTATGTAAAGGGTTCTTAGTGTGAACTAAGGAACTGCTCAGCTCTGGTGAGTCTGGGTAACATTACTGAACATTTTCACACATTATATTTTATCTCCAAGTAGCAGGGGTTTTATCAACCCTTTACCCTCTAACATCTGTAAGCATATTCTCCATACTGTTCTCTCTACATTTTCAAAGAGCTGACAAGGAGAATTTATTCAACAATCAAAAGCTCGTTTAGTTGGTGTTGATTTTTATAATTCTTATGACTTAAATGTGTGATTCAGGATATTTTAAGGATAAATTAGATGTTAGTCACCCTTAAGGATTAAAGGGCTAAAAAGCCGATTACCAGCGGTCTCCCGCCACCTCTAAGGGTAGGTACTTGGTGAAATCTTTAATGTATATTTCAATACATAAGAACATGTGGGAATACATGGTCATTTGCATACAGATAGGTACATTAAGGATTTCACTAAGTACCTACCCCTGTAACACCCTAACACCATCTGCTTAGCTTGCGAGCAGGCTGTCCTGTTTGGGTTTTGCCTTCTTAACCCTTTCACTCTCAAGATCTCATTAGTACTTCTCCTTACTGTCTGCTATACAATTCTTATGATTTTAGTTCAGAGAATTTGTTATTAGATCAACTGGTGATCCCATGATTTTTCTTTTTCTTTATTCTCGTTACTTTTCTGCTTGATATTGTATTGATATTGTGAGGAAAAATTACGTCTTGGTCATTGACTGGAGTAAAAGAGTAAATAGGGCCCCTTTCTGGGAACAGCTGCCTATTACACCATATGCTGCCACTCATTGAAAAAGAAACTGTAACCCTAACCCAACCTCGCCCCCAAAAAAAAAGAGAGAGAGAGAGAGAGAGAGAGTAATCAACCATCTTTCGCAGCTCAGCTTCTTGGGTTGTGGACAGTTTGTAATTTCACAGGCCTTATGTTTTTTTCTGCTTATCGCAATATTATCTATGATGCTTTGACGACCTACGAGTTGTGAACGAAACGTGTATTTCATGTGTTTAAAACTTACTCTTGTGTGTACTACCAAACTTTATGTTTGTTTAATATTCTGGTAATTTTGTTCCTGGAGGGCAATATTTTCAGGTAGTGTGAACACAGGTTAGCTCCAGCGCTATAAATAGCAGATGCCAACATAGTGGATGAAAAACTACGTTGCTGGAAATAATTCCGGGCTCGCAGTGGTGGTTATATTGTAGTCTTCCCAATAACGAGTGTCTCTTTTTTAGTGAAAGCAGTGTTTATCCTCTTGTACATCAGAACTCTCAGGCCAAAATCAAACAAATTATAGGCTTGCCTTAAAACTAAGTTTGCTGGTCAGGATTACGCATGAAATTCAGCAATTATGTGAAAATGAACACCGACTGACTCGACTAGTGCAAGGGCTGACAATTGCTAAAGGGATTTTAACCGTAACCACTTACATCCTAACACAGACTGAGGGTGAACCTTCTCATAGTTCTGTATACTCTTTCTGTAATACTTTTCCACTTACTCATTACTTTCTTAACGATTGCGTGTACATCAAGTGCCAAGTCTCATTAAAGATAACCACTCATCCCTCTAATCTGCGATTGAACAATAAATTGTGTCTCGAGTCGAAGGTATCGTTGAAGGATTTTTTTTTCTTTTCAATTTAATGAAAAGTCCGGTAAGAGGTAATCCTTAACGAACCGACGGTGGTTTCAACACATCGTTAATCTCCGGATGTAATCGACTTAGACTCGTAGTTGGCGGACCACCAGTGACTTCAACGCTTCGTCAATCTCCGGATGTAATCGACATTTTACTCGTAGTTAACGAACCGACTGAATTCAAAGCGTCGTCTTTCTTCGGATGTAAATGACTTTTCTCGTAGTTGACGAACCGACGGTTATTTCAACACATCGTCAATCTCCGTTTCTAATCGACTTGGACTTTTAGTTAACGAACTGACGATGACTTCAATACATCGTCAGTCCCAGATATTATTGACTCGAACTTGTAGTTGAAGAACCGACGGCGATTTCAACACGTTTTTATTCTCCTAATGTACTCGACTTGGACTCTTTACGGCCGGTTCACACGAGTTCTAACCCAAACCGCGGTTTTATGCAAGCGGTGGGCCTCGGGGATTCTCTTTAAAGAGGGTTGATGTCCTTCCGCCGTTGGCTTTCGACCCTCTTGACACTGTTTACAAACATAAATGTTCAAATAAAAGGTACGGCGAAATTGAAGACGGCTTAGAACGCGGTTTTGTCAAACAATGGCTAAACTTAAATGCATTGGTGCCGCGTTCGTCAACTAAAACCCAAATGTCACCTACACTTTTTGTTTGTGCAAATATGACAACAATCTGTGAAGCTACTGTAATGCTTGTTATCTACCGACTTGAGTATGTAAATTCGCCTCCGAAAGGAGTTTTTTAAAGCTGATGTATAGTCCTTTCGTCATTTGCACTGACGAAGGACTAACACTCGAAACGTCAGTTTTAGAAAGTCGGTGGCCAATCAGTTTACATTTCAAAACGATTCATGTGTAAAACCAAATTATCTTGCAAGACCCCCACCGACGCAGCCCCACAGTTTCTTTAGAAAGTAACACCCTTTAATCTTATCTACCGACTTATTACTTCCTTAATGATCGCGTTAGTAAAGTTTGACACTAATCCCTCTAATCTGCGATTTTCCATCGTCAAACAAACTTCATAAAAGGATTTAACTACCTTCTGTTTACTTAATGAAATAGGCCCGGGCTTCAATCACTAAGTTACACAATTCTTTCGTTGCTAACGTGAACTGTGTTATTGTTGGTAGGTCTATAGTTGGATGAGTTATGATGGCACGTTCTTTCCGGGAACCAGAGTTAAAAACTAACGTCCGAAAATCTTGCGTAAAAAATGAGTGTCCTTTTGGTGTCAGCCGGAACCCTGTGACAAGGCAAAAACGTGATGTTACAGAGGTCGGCAATCACAGACAGAGAGCAATTGTGGGAAAAATGAAAGATGCATTTCGGACAATATCCTTTCGTTCAGAGCCAACAATTGGCGAGGAGGATTTGGTTACGCGACGAAATTCACGAACGCCCATGAGTGGCCGAATTAACAGCAGCATTAGTTACGCTTTAGATGCCAAGAAACGCGATGAACTTGTTTAGAGTCTTGTACCTGAATGTTATGAGCATCTACAGAATTTCCATCATTATTGAAACGATATGGAAAGATTGAACTCGGGGTGTGAGGTTTTGTACCTATCTGCCAAAGACGGTGGCAAAGTTGGAGAAGAGAAAGAGCTTCAAAGGGCCTATGGCCAAGCAGCGGTGAAGACCGAATGTTGGCCTCGAAGAATATGGAACAACGCTGGTTCAAATGCGAGACGTTCGAAAATGTCTCGTAAACGTGCATCAGAAACGGTAGCTATGGAGTCCAAAAAGGATTCCGCACCGTCGGCAAGACGTGGTGTTAACGTCACTAAAAGTACGCAGTCTAACTTGAGTACTGTGTTGGACTTTTCCGATAGAAAATTAAAAGAGAACGCTTGCAAAGGAGGTTCAGCAGATTGTTCAAAACTGACTTTCATCAATGGTGTAGAACGAGTGGCGCCTCGTGAATACGAGAGCTTTGCAGGAAGCGGTGAGGTGCCTTCTGTTAAGCTAGAGGAAGACATCAGCACTGTTGAATCGCCAGGTGTTCACCTTGTGCGCTGCTCTCACAGTACAGTGAGCGATATCTCACCAAATCCTCCCATGACAATTCTAGAGCTCGACAGCTCCAGACGATCTTCCGTACGCACTCTTGTGTTCGAAAGCCAAGAGCAACTTGTTGAAAATAGTGGAAANACAGTCTCTGTCGGGACACTTGTGTTATCTAGCAACAAAATAGTGGAAGTCCTTTTATTAGTAAGTTTTCAATTTTTCTTTTTAATAATTCGTACAAGGATTTTCGATTGCAGTCAAGATCAGAAATGTCTCTTGAAACTAGTCACTTTCTTCCCTTATCGCATCAATAACCGGTTAAATAGTCTAAAGGAATTTACCTGACACACTTTTGAAAAAGCTCATGATCCTTCTTGACATTCCGAACGGATAAACGAAGAAAATAGTACAACCTTGGAATTAGTACTATAATGTTGTCACTATGCGTGACGTAGCCTTTTATGGGACCTTCCATATATGGAAGGTGGGATGCGAGACAGGACAAGCTCAGGTCGGTGGTGGCGTCGCAGGTGGCCCAAGCTCTGTCACAGGCTCTTTCACAGTGGATAATTAAAGAGTTTTTATTTAGTTGGACTTGCTTTTGAGCTCCGTAAATGTAAAGTTGTGTGAGTTAGTCAAAGAAATAAAGTGTTACCTTCATAGAGAGTAGTCTGTGTGATTGTTCTCCT